ACAGTTGTCAGCGCAGTCCTGGTGGTCGAGCGTCAAGACGAGAAGTCAACAAAACAACACCCCGTGTATTTTGTGAGCGAAGTGCTACAAGAAGCCCAATCCAGGTAACCAAACATTCAAAAACTAATCTATGCCGTATTGATGTCTTCTCGAAAGCTTAAGCATTATTTCTTAAGTCACAAGATCAAAGTGGTTTCTTCGTACCCACTCGGTACCATTGTTCATAATTGAGATGTCGTTGGTAGAATCGCTCAATGGTCAGTTGAGTTAGGCCAATACGATATAGAATTTGTACCTAGAACTGTGATCAAATCGTAGGCTCTAGCTGATTTTGTTGCAGAATGGACAAATCCTGAACCCGAGGAGGTGGCTCAAAACCCTGAGCACTGGCTAATGTTCTACGATGGAGCAAAATGCAGGAATGGCGCAGGGGCTGGCGTCGTCTTAATCTCTTCGGAAGGGGATGCCATGAGGTATGCAATTCAAATTGATTTTACACATCCTACTCCAACTAACAATATTGCCAAATATGAGGGCATGTTAACTGGTTTATGAATTGCCATATCCTTGGGTATTAAATGACTACTTGTGAAAGGGGATCCAGAAGTAGTCGCTAAACAAACCAGCAAGGATTATCGAGTAACAAACAAGAACATGGCCGCATATTTACTGGCATATAGACAATTGGAATCTGAATTTGATGGACTCGAGGTCCAATACATCCCGAGAAAACTAAACTCGGATGCTGACACGCTTGCTACCCGGGCAGCTAAACAACAGCACCTACCGGGAGACGTCCTGGTCGAACTGCTAGCTAAACCCTCTATCCCGATGTCAAAGTTGGGTCCAAACCCCACGCTTGATCCGTCAAGCGAATTGGCAATACTCAGCGAATTTCTTGGGAAGTCTATGCTGGGCGATACGGCTCGTGCTGCCACTCTAGTTGGAAACGGGGAGAACTGGATGGATCTAATCCGGGCGTACCTCACAAACCAGGCTACTCTGGTCGATGATACGAATATAGAATGAACTAGCCGTAAAGCCATGGGCTATCAAATGGTAGACGGTACCCTCTACAAGCGAGGCGAAATGGGGTTCTTCTCAAGTGTATCACCCAGGCCAAAGGGCATTAGTTTGCTCCACGACATCCACGGAGAAATCTATGGGTCCCATGCCTCTCACAGAACGCTGGTCGGGAAAGCCTTTCGACAAGGATTTTACTGGCCTACAGCGCTCGAAGATGCCACTGAGCTAGTTAGAACATGTGAAGCTTGTCAGTTTTTTAAACGGCAGATTCACTAGCCTGCTCAAGCGCTAAATCGATCCCTTGTCTTGGCCATTTGCCTCATGGAGCATTGACATCCTGGGTCCTTTCCTAAGAGCCGGGGGTGGTTACTGATTTTTATTGTAGCGATCGATACTTTCATAAAGTGGGTTGAAGAGCTGAGCCAAGAGGGCGGATAACCAAAGAAAATACATTCAAATTTTTGCAGAGCATTGTATTATGTTTTGGCATACAGCACCAAATACTCTCGAATAATGGTACATAATTTACCAGCAAAAAAATTGAGAATTTTTATGAAAGACATGCCATTAAGCATTATCCGTCATCAGTCTACCACCCGATGACCAACGGTAAAATAGAGCGTCCTAACAGCATAATTCTACAAGGGATCAAGACCCGAATTTTCGATAGCCTGAGTGTCTATGATAGAAAATGAGTCGAAAAACTCCCCACATTTTTACGGGCGCAAAGTCGTATTATAGCTAATCGAGCAACGGGTGAAACGCCATTTTTCCTAGTTATGGGGTTGAAGCTGTCCTTCCCCCCGAAGTCCGACTAAACTCGCCCCGAGTATCGATGTTTTCCGAAGAAGAGCAAGCTGACCGTCGTTACACCGACCTAGAACTCCTCAAAAAAAGCGTGATATAGCTGCATTCTGAGTCGTGAAATACCAGCAAGCCCTCCGGAGATATCATAGCCAGTGTATACACGCCCGGGCACTTAACGTCGATGATTTGGTACTCAAACGAGAACAATGCTCAAAGGATAAAACTAAGTTAACACCCACTTTGCAGGGTTCATACATTGTAGTTGATATAGCTCGACCAGGCACATACCGACTAGCAGAGATAGATGGGGATATACTCCCGAATACGTGGAACATGGATCAGCTACAACGCTTTTATGCATAATAAACTGCGTTCCTGATCTATTTCTCAGCATACAACCTAGATAAGTGTTTCATTTGTTGTTTAATTTTATTTCTCTGTTAGTAGTAGTTTTCTCGAGTATATACGCTCGGGGCCTGGGGCTGTTCAATTATAGCTATCTTTTCTCAGATTAGTCTTCTACTATTTATTCATTTATTCAGGTAAGCTACTCGTACCCAAATAAATAGTCGGGGGCTATCATACTGCTATTCACTAGTCTGCAAAAATTCTCAATCATACTAAGCCTAAATCATTCAAACGACATTGACTTGCAGTACACAAACCGCTCATGTTTAGCTACTATAAGTTTAAATGTTTGCATAACGAATGATTCAAATAACAAAAGAAAGAAGAACTGTGCAAGACTAACAAAGTAGTTTAACAATCTTACAATATTGCCGGAACAGGTAAATGTTTCCATTTTTTCCTCACCACAAATTGACAGGCTCAGCGTTGTTAGTCTATTCAAGTCTTAAATATGGCCGCAATGTAAGTTATTCACAAAGCAAACTATCGTTTTTTTATTCAATAATTTACAAGCACTTTGTACCCGAGTTGTGAGTAAAGTTCTGACCTGACTAGAGCATCCCAATTGGCCTGTAGCTCGGGGCTATGAATCAACTCAGTAACTGGGACGACACTGCTAATGTTATCCCGATTTCGGATTGTGTCCGCATGTAAAGCGTGTCGTGGCTCTGACCGCGTCGACTCGAACACGGAACAGTGTGAAGAAATGCAGATCAACAGCAAGATACTCATTGGGAACTAGTCATTTCATTGATATAATTCGTTAACACGTATTTACAAATGATTAAACTGGGATCCTAATCTAAGATAGAAGGAGTAGGCACTTCCACCGCTTGTCACCAAGCTCCTTAGAGGGCTGGCTGACGGGATGGAGCAGTCTAGCTCCTCGACGGTGACCCACCACCCACGGGCTCGTTCTCCTCCTCCTCCTCCTCCTCGGTGACCTCTTCCTCACTGTCGCTGCTGAGGATCACTAGGCCGCCGTCTCCCGGAATGCTGATGGCTTCACGGTTTAGCTCAACAACGAGCTTCCTCGCGATCTCTTCGTCACGGCTCGTGTCCGGCGAGCCAGCGGCGCAAGGAGTGGAGGGCCGGGGACGTCGAGGGCGGTGGAGGCAACGGAGGCAGGAGCGGCGGTGGAGACTGGAGCAATGGGAGCAGCACCCGCCGACGGGATTGAGCCTTCCGGCTCGTCCTCGTCGGAGAGCTCGATCACTACCTCCGGCGCCGATGGCACCGGCTGAGTTGCAGGCCCGACTGGAAATCCCGGTGAAGTGACTTCATTGACCTCACGTTCCTCTCCAGGGACCGCTGGGGCTAGAACCACCGGCGTCATTGCTAGCGGCAATGCTGCTGCCGCGGCTGGGGCTCCATATGACGTCGGGGATGGAGACGCGGGAGCGGACACCGGAGGTGATGACGTACTACTCGACGACGACGCCTTGTGAGGACGTTTGCGACCAGCGGTTTTCTTCCTCATCTTTGCTACAAGATTTGGAAATGGAGGTTGCAGATTCATCAGAGCGGGCCTAATTAAATAGGACCAAGCCGTCTTTCTAGGAATCTCAACCGCCATCTCAATTAAAAAGGAATTAAATCTCTACCACGCGTACTCATGGGGAATCGAGCCGACGCAGCGCTTCGACTGACAGACGACTACGCGTCCCCTGGCTTGCGTGTGAAATGGGATTGACAAGACACGATGACCCGGGGATGGCACTAGAACAAGCTCATCTCCTAATAGCGCAGTTGCGACTGGCAATTTTGGGTGGCGTCTAACCACCCGGATCTCAAGCCAACTGACTAAGACAATCCCGACTACACACAGATGGTCGAGTTGCGTTTGACAAACAAGCTTGGGAGCTTTTGTCGATGCCATACCCCCGGTTACCCCGACTTCCATATTGCCGACTACCTACTCCGGATCAGAGACGACCCAAAGGCCCATGATGACCCTATTCAAGGAAGGATATCTCCGGATTGCGCTAAGAGTCCAACTAGGGCACGACTCCTTAGCTTGTAGGGCAAGTTGGTCCCGAATATAAATAGCTAGCAATTCTCCCTGTTGTAATCATCAACTCTTTCATAGGCGTAGCCATATTGTAATCGTAATCTCGCCGAATACAAGCAATACAAACAAGTAGCAAATGGACGAGGACTTTTACCCGCTTTTCGGGGCACCGAACCAAAGATAAATCTCGCCTTCATCTGTGATTTTTTTTTTACCAAGCGGGTTCCCCAATAACCAAATATCTACCGGTAAAAACACTGAACGATGCCCATCTTCTTGTTTATGCTACTTTGCGGTGGAATATAACATGTAACAAACATGTTGAATATTGGGCTGAGACATTTATTTGCATGGATGCAGGACAGGATAAGAGTTGGGTAAGAGCTTGATAACAGGTAACTGCCAGTTACTTGTTCCCCAATTTGATTGGGCAGACCAATGCACCGACTTAGAGCTTGATAAAGTCATCTAGATCGTCAACGGTCAATACATACCACGTGGGAGTAGGAGACTGAAATGAGAGATGGATTGCATTTGCAGACAAGCATGTGACCAACTTTAATTAAATTGATACTCGTGAAATATTCTATCATCAATGGATTGCTAGCGTCACGGATGATGCATCGATGGGCGATGGCTCCAAACCTATATAACTGCAATCATATCACATCACAAGTATATAGTTCTCTGGCTCAACCAAGAGCTAGCAGAGTGGAAACAGAAGCTAAGCAATACTTCCATCCAGAAAATGGCAGGAGGAGGTGATGAGCTGAAGCTGCTGGGCATGTGGGCGAGCCCGTTCGTCCTACAGGTGAAGCTCGCGCTCAGCTTCAAGGGCCTGAGCTACGAGTACGTAGAGGAGGACCTCCGCAACAAGAGCGGCCTCTTGCTCAGCTCAAACCCAGTGCACAAGAAGGTGCCCGTCCTCATCCATAACGGCAAGCCCGTCTGTGAGCCGCAGGTCATCGTGCAGTACCTCGACGAAGTCTACAGCGCAACAGGCCCCTCCTTCCTCCCCGTCGACCCTTACGAACGCGCCATGGCGCGCTTCTGGGCCTCCTTCATTGACGAAAAGGTCAGTACCGTACCCCTAAATCATCCAGTATTTGCAAGAAATTAGTATGCTGATCAATGTGCCCGCGCGCGTGTGTTTCAGTTCATGGCGTCGTGGTTAAAGGCAGGAAGGGGCAAGACGGAGGAGGAGAGGGCGGAAGGGCTGAAACTGACGTTCGCGGCCGTAGAAACCTTGGAAGGGGCGTTCAAGGAGTGCTCCAAGGGAAAGCCCTTCTTCGGAGGCGACAGCGTCGGCTACCTGGACATCGCGCTCGGGACCCTGGTAGCGTGGATGCACACCGCCGAGGTGCGTCACGGTCTCAGGCTCTTCGATGCCTCCAGGAGTCCGCTGCTGGAGAAGTGGGTGGAGCGCTTCGGCAAGCTGGACGAGGTCGTGGCTGTCCTGCCGGACATCGACCGGTTCGTAGAGCACGCCAAGATGAGGGAGGCCGAGGTTGCAGCTGCTGCCGGAAACAACTGAACCGAACGTGTCGTGGTATTGAGGCAGTCAATACCGAGAAATATTTTGATATCTGTGTAACAAGGAAAAATCAAATACACCCAAGGAGTTTGTACTGCCTCTACGTACGTTTTGTTTACTATATGGTTTTGTTTACCACTTTCTAAGCTTGTACTCAAGGAAAATTTTCACAGCTTGGGCCAGGCCATGATCGAGAGGTACTGGTACGCTAGCAGATTGTTAGAGCGGAGAGGGACATGAGACGTTTACTTCCTAGGATTCTCCTCCAAGAAGAGTTGAACAATAATCTGTACATTTTCCAAATTCAACGTTGTTTACTGTATCTCCTATGCTTGCAACGCCCCAAAAATCAACAAATAAACTAAGCCACCGTATCGTCCAGCATTGTTACGTCCGTCAAGATGAGGCCTTCGCCGGCACTGGCCCGTCCTCCTCCCCACCGATCCGCACCAGCGCCGCCCTTGCTCGCTTCTGGGGTGCCTACGTTGACGACAAGGTACTGTTAGGATCGATCTGTACCTTTCTGTGACCATAGGATCGGGTAAGCATCCTCGTCTTCTCCGTGGATGCACCTCAGCGGGTAGACACCGATGCCGTCGGTGTAGTAGGCGTCCATCGCCGTGGAGACGATCACCAGTGGCCCGGTGTAGACCCCAAGGGCGCTGGTGGTGAACCGTGGTGGTACGGTAGTGATCCTGCGGGGCGACACGAGTCGGTGGGGCACATCCCGTCGCTGGCAGCACGGCCTTTAGATCGGATTAGGGTTATCTTTAGGTGGGTGTGGCGGCTCCGTTCAACCTCGTTGTCCGAGCCCTCACCCCCACCTTCCTTTTATGTGTGCTTGTCGGCGAGGACCCACCAACCGGATTAGGGTTGGGCTCCCCGATCGTGAGCAGGGAGATAAGGGCCCAATAGGCCGTTGGGCCTATTGGTGGAGATCAACTAACATTCTCCCCTTGATCTCATTCCATCTTTCACTTTCATATCATTTACTTTTGTTCATTCCATTACAGATTAGCTCATAGAGCATGTCTCATCGCCACGGTCCATTGCCGATAGACTTAATGACTACAACTCACTACTCTGCTTTTGAAATAGATACTTATCTTTGGGCCTTCTTTTGTCCAAGAATATTTTAGGCTTTCTCTTAAGCCCAAACTAGCTACATGTTCTCTGAACACCATGTCCTCTGAACATGTTGGGTGGTAAGCCTTTTGTAAGCGGATCCGCGAGCACCCTTTCTGTTCTTATATGCTCAAGACCTATGACTTGATCCCGGACTTTATCTTTCACAACATAATACTCTATGTCAATGTGTTTAGCAGCACCACTTGACTTATGTTGTGAGCATCCTTTACTGCCAGATTATAATCGCAGTATAACTTTAGTGGTCTATAGATGTCGTCAACCACCTTCAAACCGGGTATGAACTTTGTTAGTTAGTTCACCCGCCCGCTTGCCTCTCATAACACGCCACAAACTATCATATATTGTGGACGATGTAGTGACAATTTGCTTTGAGCTTTTCCATGAAATAGCTCCCATTTATGAGATGATAGAAAATCCACGTCTGGATATGCATTCACTCTCGCATAATCAGAATCTGAATATCCCACCATGTAGAGTGAATCAAATCTTCTATATGTCATCATGAGGCCTTTCGTTCCTTACAAATAATGCAAGACTTTCTTTACTTATTTTAGTGTTCTATTCCAAAATTGCTCTAGAATCTGCCAAGTAAAACCCGGTAACAAATGCCAAGTCAGGGCGCGTACATACTTGAGCATGTTGCAAGCTTCCGACAGCTGAAGCATATGGAACCACTTTTACTTTATCGATTGAGCTCATATTGGTTCCTAGGGCATTTAAAATCTCCATATCTGTCGCTCTTGACTATAGGAGCAGGTGAGGGACTACACTTGTGCATACTGAATTTCTTTAAGATCTTTTCCATGTATGCCTTTTGTGACAGTCATTATACCCTTTTCTTCTATCTCGGTGAATCTCGATCCCAAGAACGAACGAGGCTTCGTCAAGATCTTTCATATCAAGTTTTGGGGACAAAACTTCTTTGCCTCCTATAGTAGACTGACATCACTACTAGCAAGTAAGATATCATCTACATACAGGACATGGAAGATAAACTTTTCATTCTTAAACTTTGCATAGACACAATTGTCCTCTACATTCTCTTTTAAAACCCAAAATTCTTTATTGACCGATCAAACTTCAAGTACCACTGTCTTGAAGCTTGCTTTAATCCATAAATAGATTTCTTTAAACGGTATCCCATTCGTTCTTTTCCTTCTATGACAAAACTTTTTGATTGTGCCATGTAAACATTTTCCTCCAAGTCTCTGTTGAGAAATGCTGTCTTTACATCCATATGATGTAATTCTTAATCGTAATGTGCCACTAATGTCATTATGATTCTGAAGGAAAGTTTACATGAGACTGGAGAAAAGATCTCATTGTAATCAATCCCTTCTCTTTGCATAAAGCCTTTTGCCACAAGTCACACTTTATGTCTCTATATTCCCTTGAGAGTCATGTTTAGTCTTGTAGACCCATTTATAGCCTACTGTTTTGACTCTTTTAGGAATTATTTTCAAATCCCAAACTTTATTGACATTCATCGATTTCATTTCATCTTTCATTTGGAATTCCTTAGTGTTATACACTTCATAATCAGCAGAAATAGCTGATTTTCTAACTCTTTGAGACCTACTAGGGGCCTTCACATTTGGCACATCTTCTATTTGAGGCTGTTGTTGCTCCCCCTCATGTGTGGCAATAGGTTCTATAGAATCTTGAAGAACATGTTCCTCATCGTCATTCATTGTTGCCACAGGTGGGATAACAACATGTGCTAGCACCACAGTATCTAGCACTGTCAGTGTAGCTACAACAGGTAGTGAGAAAAATGGCTCATGAATCATTAGAGTGGGCGCATACACCCGCTTCACTTCAAGGACAATTTCTCGAGCTACCATGCCCCCCTCATCTTTTCGTCCTCTAGGAAGACAGCGTGTCTCGTTTCCACAAACTTTGTATGTCACTATGGATAGTAAAAACGAAAACCTTTTGACTTTTCTTTGTAGCCAATGAAATGGCAACTTACTATTTTGGGATCTAGTTTTCCAATGTTGGGTTAAATACTTTAGCCTCAGCAGAGCTCCCCCACACACTCAAGTGTTTAGTGAGGGTACTCTTTCTGTCCACAACTCATACAGTGTTTTGGGCACTGACTTTCTTGATACTTTATTAAGAATATGAATGGTTGTTTTCAACGCCTCCATTCACAGGCTCAACTGTAAGGTGGAGTAACTTATCATACTGCCCACCATATCCATCAGGGTACGATTGATTCTTTTAGCTACTCTATTCTGCTGAGGTTTGCCCGGTATAGAATATTAGGCTACTATACCATTCTTTTAGGGTATGCTGACCGTAGTACTCCTCCACGGTCAGACCTGACTATCTTAATCTTTAATATCTTAAATTTATCCAATACATCTTTTCTTTCTTTGATTGGATAAATATAGCCATAATGGAAGTACTCATATGTGAATGTTATGAACGAATCATTACCATCCACACTCTTTACAGGAAAACTGACCACAGATGTCTGTGTGAATAATCTATAAAACTCCTGCACTTCATTTGACATCTTTTTTAATCTTCTTTACATACTTTTCTTTTATACATTCTCTGCATTGTTCTAAATCTGAGAGCTCTAATGGAGAAAGAATATCATTCTTAACTTGTCTTTCTATTCTCCCCCTCGAAATATGGCCTAAACGACAGTGCCATAATTTCGATAACGCATCGTGAGCTCTCTTATGCCACCATTTCCAGAGTAACACTCTGTGACCAACTGCTTTATCAGCTAAGTGGCATATGTCTTTGAAGAGCCAGTGAACTGACTCTTTATTCTATCGAGGTATTCGGTGACCGTGTCACATTCTGGGATTGAGCCCACAATTACAGGTTCAATCATGTTCTTTATCACCGCCAAACATTTCTTGTTTGCAGTAACCCACTTCCTATGCTCAAAAGCCATATGATATCTTTTGGGATTCAAAATCCCTTTCTTTAGTTGCCCAAGTGGCATCATTCACTTTTGTCTCCCTCACCGTGCCACAATCTCGATTGGAACACGGTGAGGTGACTACCATCCACCTTACACAAGATGAAAATCAGGTCAAAACTTTTCTTAACATAAAATAACACCATTTGCATGCCTTGATTCCAACGTTAGTCAAAATTAAAACATACAACTATTCTTATACACTAATTCTACATCACCGTTGGGCAGAAATAGAATTAATGCATAAATCATTAACTTTCACATCTGTTCTTACACACTAATTCTATATCACCATTGGACAGAAATAGAATTAATGCATAAATCATTAACTTTTATCAACTTTTCTTATACACTGATTCTACATCACCGTTGGGCAGAAATAGAATTAATGCATAAATCATTATAATTATGATATTGTTATTAACAACGTTGGTCAGAAAATAACAACATT